AAAAAAAATGCAGTTGTACCTTTTCTCATGAAAGGAGAAACCTCTTGGTTCATCACTGGAACTGTGGAATAGTTGGTCATCTTGTTTTGCTTCATGCTGTCAAACGCCACACTAGTTATGACTCTTTCCTTCTCTTCAGCTGAAGCAGAAATACCAAGGAAGGAACACAGTCGGTCTATTTCCTGTCCACAGTCCTGTTCACAAAAATATTGAAAATATTTCTTACTCTTAAAGGAACCCCAATGATTGTTTTTGTCCTTCGGGTCTATAGTTCTATATTCATCACTGTGGATTTGGTGTTTAAGAAAAGAAAGAATAAATCTGTTATTTATAGAGAGTCATTCTGAATTAAAAGAAGTCATTGGTGTCTTTGTGGAAAAGATATTTACTTGCATCCTCTTCAGGGAGTAACATGAGAAGACTGATACAGTGATGGCCCAAATATACACTTCTTTTCTACTGCTTTAATAAGTTTGAGTCATGCTACTACTTGTACAGGTAATACTGTGTGCATTTCCACTTATCAAAAAGCTCTTATTTTCTGTCATTCACACTAATGGAAGAAACACAGCCTCAAACTTCAGACACAACTAAAAAAGTTTCTTTGAAGCAGTGCATGAGTGCAGTGATGGATGCATGCTTATTCAAATAGCTTTTTAAACCAAAGAGTACTACAATAACAGCACCTTGAGGCAACTGTAGTTGTGATTTTGTGCTGTATAAATAAAATTGAATTGAAATTAAAGTGGATGCAGCTGATCTTTCAGAGTCTGTTGTAGCTCCTTGTTCTATTTTTTTTACTTTTGTCGTCTAAAGAAAATTTTTCTCATGTAACATCAAGAAAATGGATCATGCTGTTTTATTTAAAAGCACTCAGTGACAAATTTGTGACACGCACAAGGTGTGCCAACTAGTTTCCTGCTTCTGTTATCATCTAACTCCTTCCAGGAACAGAGTTCAGCGTGTCTCCGCTTGGCATCTTTACAGATAGCACCTGTTGTGTTTTGTTTGTTCAAACCACTACATTTATAACTAGAAACATTATTGAAGGCTTTTAAACATATCCTCTAAGAGATATGAACAATTAAAACATGTAAATGGAAAAAGTCAAGACAATTTTAAACATGAAGAACAAATGTTATACATGTTAGCCCAACTCACCGCACCTCAATCAAATCTTCATAGAACATGTAGTGAAGATTTGAATAACTTTGCTTCTTCTCCCACCAGCTGTTCACATGGTCATACCATGAGCCGAAAACCCCTGAGGCCACAGATCAATATACAAAGTAATATTAGTAAGTATACAGACAGGAAATTAGATCGCATTGTGATTCTTTTACATTAAAACTAAACTGAACTCACTCTTTCCTTTCATGAAATCCTGCAGAAAGGTGCTCCATTCTCCTGCTTCTGGCTGAGCATTGTTCATCCGATTAAAGTGGTAAAAGGACACTGCATTATCCTTTGGATTGCGGGCCACATATACTATCTACAGAAAGAGACAACACAATAATCTCAGGGTTTCATGAATTGCAAATTTCAATGGCTTCCAGGCAAGGTAAGCAGTTGTTTGGGGCCCCAAGTCAGTGGGAGCACTCACAGGGGTGACAAACTTTAAACTAAAGCAGTGGCAATTCAGCAGAGAGAGTAAGATCGACCTGACCTCCCTAACGTTCCCCCACCTCGCTCCATTCATTCCTACTACAGCTTGAATCATTAAATTTGACAAAACCTAATGACAACAATCGAAGCTATTCATATAAAATGAAATATCAATAAAATATAATCCAAAATAACTATATGATGCTAACTTAGCCTC